GAGAGAGAGAGAGAGAGAGAGAGAGAGAGAGAGAGAGAGAGAGAGAGAGAGAGAGGGAGAGAGTAATGAAGAAAAATGTGTTAAATTCGGCATAACTTTTCGAATGATTGAAATTCCCTGAATGATGACAAACAATTAAATAACTTACGGATTGATATCATCCGCTCCCGATAGTGAGCCATTTTGTTCGGCTTTCACGATTTCGTGTTTTGCCTCTGAGGTTTTGGTGCCAGGTTTGGTTCGTTTAATTTTCATTTTGAGACCTTTGTCCAGCGTTGCATGATGATCGGCTACTTTATTGCCTGCCTTACCAGTTGTTTGACCAGCCGTATTTGAAGACATATTGCCAATATTTAGCGAGGGTTTGTCCAATGCAATCAGTTCCGTTGCAGTGTTACTGGTTGACGTTGATTTTTGTGTTAATTTTTTGCCAATCTCTTGATCGCTAAGTGCCGAATGTTTTTGCTTATTCAATTGGTGCGGTGCACTCGATGGTTTCGATGACGATGACGGTGATGATATCGATTGATTTTTCGCTTGACTCTTGTCAATGGCCGTTGAAGTCGATGGCGACTGTGCGCTTTTCGTTTTACCACTTTTATCCGTGTCGGATAATGAATCTTTTTTAGTTTTTGTGTTGTTGTCGTGCTCAATTAATCGATTACTTGGAATCGTTGACGAGCCAATTGATTGAGAATGCTGTTGTTGTTGTTTTTGTTGCTGCTGTTGATTTAGTTGTGCTGATGCAGCCGATGTGCTCGATGGCGTTGATAAACTCGATGGAGATGATGAACTACTTCTACTATTACTACTGCTGGCACTAACGCTGCCACTGCTGCTGGTACTGCTGCTGCTGCTGCTACTGCTACTTTGTTCACTTTGCGAATTCACGTTTTGCGATACTGTTTCCGATGTCTTTTTTATGTCGTTATCTAAATCTTTGATCAAATCACCGATGCCGCCTACATCCCATTCATTATCATCATATTCAAAATTATTTTCCTTTGATTCCGTCGCTGATTGCTGCTGCTGATTATTTCCGCTACTCTTATTATTATTGTTTAAAGTACTGCCACTAACATTGCTAGGTATCGTTTGCTTATTGCTATCCGTTTCTAGGCTGTTAATGGCCACCTGCATTTTGACCGGACACAAAAATGAAAGATGGATAAGAATGTGTAAAAAAAAATGTTTCATGAGGGTGAATACGACACACTGTGTGGCGCGGTGGTCACATACCTTATTCGGGTGGTGGCTATGATTTGCCGAACCACTTTTCATTGACTCCATGCAGACTGAGAAATTTGGGCCAACGCACAAAGCGAGCCCACGAAAATCGACACTTCTATCTCGTCGTCAATTGAAGCACACAAAGACAAACTAGACGGAAACGATGTGGAACCGAACGATGGAAATGATGGAATCGACTCTAAATACGGATTAAAATGGACGAGTGGGAAAAAAAAAACGATTAAAAATTCTGTACATTTTCCATGTATGGACACATTCATGCGGAGGGAATGAAAATGATGACCTTACCTTGATTATTGAACAAAGCAGTTTCAGTTGTGAATGATTCGGATGCAAAACGGCGGGAGATACAGGGCCCCGACCCTTGAGACAAACCAATCATTTTAGTTCTGTTGGGAAAAGACAAAAAAATAGAAACATTAAAAAAAATGTAATTCAAAATGTATGTGACAAACTTCGAAAAGAATTCCGAAGCCAATCATTCTAAAATTTGAAAGCAATCAATTAGTAAGCGATGCACAAACAGATCGAGACAAGTGATTGATCGGCAATTAAATCAGTGGTTGTACAACCAAAAGTTCGACAGATAATATTGAATCAGTCCATTGTAAATGCAACCGATTGATTGGTGTCAGTTTGCAATCACGATGACGATGCATAAATTCATGCGCTAAACTAAGACCGTGTGTAAGGTGTGAAGAATCAACAACAACAACAACAGTAGAAACTAGCAACAACAATTACAATTAAATCACACGACCAACAATGCCTGATAAATTTGTCATACTATCAGCATTTGAGACTCGATAAATAAATTAAAATGCCAAAGCTTCGGGGCAAAAATGAAGTCTATTCGATAAACAAATGCAAAGACGGGGAAATACGGCAATAAATCACATCAAGTGGAATGCACATATGAGGCACAAGAGAGAATTTTATTTTCGACTATAAATTCGATTGAAAAATGCTTTTGGTCGATTAATCGACAGCCATTGAATTTTCAGAGATAATCTATGAACTTGCATTGTATTCGCCCATCATTATTGAATATGGTAACGAATGTGTGCGAAAGAGTATGAAAGAAAAATCGTGAGATCGTAGCAAGTATTCTGTTTGGTGGAAATCAACAGGAACGTATTACATAACTTTCTCTTTTTTTTTCTTTCTCTTCCTCTGTCTCTGTCTCTGTCTCTGTCTCTCCCCCTCTCTCTCTCTCTCTCTCTCTCTCTCTCTTCCTCATTCGATTTTGTAACACAAAAAATGAGTATAAAACGTTGTAATTACACATTTCAATGACGCATCAACAATAAACAATTTTCGGCATTTTCAAATGAATTCAAAACAAAATACGAAATGATTGAAAAAACCACGCAGAACATTTTGTTGAATTCGTGGTGAACATTTGTGGTTTTTGTTTTTTGGAAAGTTCAAAAGTGAAACTTCAAAAGCATTTTGCTGGTTCATTTATGTGAAACTGGCTAACTATGTGATTAGATTTAGTTTAGCTCTTGTTTTAAATCATAGCTTGAAAGCAATATTCTCGAAGTTTTTGCTCTCAATGCAGCTATTACCAATTTTGTTGTTTGTGCTGCGGATTATCGTTTTTCACTTTTTTGCACGGCATTTGAATTAGAAATCGGTGGGTAGTTTCGTTTCGATACTTTTTTTCTGCCGTTGTTGCTGCTGCTACTGCTGCTGCTCTCGGTGTGATGCGATGAATAGAGGAAAGAAAAAGCTTCTATATTTCATTGGCTGGTGGGGCTAGTTGATTTTTACGGTATTAGTGATTAATTGATTTCCTATTGCGCTCAATGAGGCCCACTGTTCAAATTAAATTATGAATACAATAAATCACTCTCAGAATCGGTAAAGATTTTGACCATATTTGAAATAATCGACCGTCCGGGAGGTAGTGAGAGTGAGCGAGAGCGAGCGAGAGAGAGTCTCTCTCAATGACATGCGAATAAAGAAAAAAATGGAATTGAATTCACATTGAGCGCGATAGCTTGAGGTTCTTCACAAATCGGATCGCTGGTGTGCGGCTCGGAAGCATAATTGATTGAAACAGAGTACAATATATGTATCGATACAAATCGGTTAAAACGCGCCGTGCATTGCTATTGTGCCAATCTGCAAATAATAAGTGGTCGCCGATTGCTCTTTGAATATCAAATCGTATACATACGAATGAGCTACTACACGAATGCAGATCACAGTCGATGAAAAATTCAGCACGAAAGCATCGACGGTTATTTTTTTTTAGATGAATACATTACCGAAAAAAAACATCAATATAAAATAAAATGTGCAGGACCAAACGAGTCGAAAGAATAACGAAGCGATGATCGAAACGGAGAGTGAAAGAAAGAGAGACGAAAAATGCAACTGTTAACGATGAATGAACATACAATTAATTAAAAAAAATTTCTCAAAATACCGAATACCCAGTGCATACAGACACGGCAGCCAAATAGTGCATGTGCGATGCGCGCAAACACGCTTGCCGCGCACAATTCACCAGCGCCAAAGCCCCGAATGAAACAGAAACAGAAACGAAAAAAAACAAGAGCAACGACGCAGATAACAATGGGCAAAGTATCGCGCCGAACTACAAAACCTGTTTTCTATTTTCAAAGGTTATTATCAGCGACCATTTGTCAGCAACCATAAATATTTTAATTTTGTATTAGTTTACATAAAATTACGCATATCTCTCCCTCTCATTCATACAACCATTACAAAGAGCCAAAGTGTGTGCGTGTGTTTCAATTTTTCATTGTGATATACTTCCTCCTATATCTGTTCTTCCTTCATTTCTATCTTTTCCAAAATAGTTTTCACCTTTGTTCTTTCACGTTCTTTCTGTCTTTAAATAAGAACAGGTAAAAATGCATTCGGAAACGACCTTTGGAATTTCAAAACAGCTTCAAATGAGTGTCATCTCTTCGGGCGCAGTTTTTCTAAAATTCATTTGTCAGTTCAGTTTTGACTTTCAAATAAAGAGCTTGTTGTGTATGAAATATTTGTTTTTTTTTTCAAATATGAAATATAACCTTTTAGTTTGTTCCTTATTCCCAGTACTTCTGTTATCGAATATTCAATGTGAATATTCGAATTTATCAGAATATTATCAAGAAACTGTGACCGATCTTTTAGCTCATCGTCTTACTGGTATGAATTTGTGTGCAATTCAAATGAACGAATGTAAATTTTGTGCCGTTTTTTATCATTTAATTTTTCATTTTCAGATTCCAAATATTGTGAATCGATTTTATTGCCCACGAAACATACATTGAAAAAATCATTGGAATCAACATTTTTGAACGCAAGAAACAACATAATTTTGGATGAAAAAGATGAGATAAATCTTTGCTGTCGTTCGCTTTACAAGTGTGATGCACATAAGCATGTGGAACTAAATCAAACAACCGAAATTGATATTTCGAATTGTGGATGTGTGGAATTATTTCGAACATGTTTGAAGGAACTAAATACATCATTATCGAATGAGGTTGCATTCATGTTTGCCATAAAAACAACGAAATGTTTTTCAATGGTTCATCCAATTATTAAATGTATCAAATTTGAAAAATATTCAGAATCAATCGTTGATTTATTCAAATTTTTTAACTCAACTGAACGTGAAAAATATTTTAAACGATGCATTAAATATGAATTAGATCAAAGACGGAAAGAAGAATTGCAAATGATTGATGTGACAATCGATGATAATAT